ATCACATGTCCGCAGTGGCCGCTGTTCATTCCCTATATGACATCCGCATCGGCATGAAAAAGCAAGGGACCCCTGGTCAGCCCCGACGTAGACATTTGTCGGTAGAACTTAATGACACAGGTAACATCAGCTAGGCATCCTCTTTTGGGCCCCCCCCCCCCCCGGATGTTGCTGACCCTTCCCCCATGCCAAATGCACTTGTACATGCTCACCCCTGAGCCGGCTCTGTGTGTCCATTGACACACAGAGTGTGGCTCAGCCCTGTCCCTGCTCTTTCTTCACTGGCTGTGATTGACAGCACTAGGAGCCAATGGCTCCAGCTGCTGTCTATCTGTCCAATGAGCAGAGAGAGCCTCAGCCCTCCTGCACATTGCTGGATTGAGATCAGGCTCAGGTAAACATAATGGGGGCAGGGGCAGGTCTTTACAACTACTTTAAAAGGTACAAAAACCATAGAGGATTGGCAACAAAGATGGTCTAAGGTTGTCTAATACTCTATTATTATTACCTCAGCATTACAAATTTAACATGGTGGTATGTGGTCTCATCCAGATTGGCACATCTTCCACCTCTCTCTCACCAATACATGTTTTAGAGGCTATAATGTTGTGGGTGATACATTGATCATCTGGTGGACCTGACCAATGTTGAACAGATTTTGGTAAAATGTGTCCAAGCTCTTACAAACTTTATTTAATAGCCCCTTCCCAAAAGTTTCTTGGCTTCTGCCTCTCCATCTCAAATCTTCCTTCCTCATTAAGCCTCAATTTAATTTAACTACAGATGTAGTATTAGCTGCCAAACCTTTGCAAGGGCTTGGCTGAAGCAATTTACACACCTTGCACCACGTCACCACCCTGGTGTCTTCTTTGTGTCTCTCATTCATTCTTTCAGTCAGTCTTCTTCCTCTCTCTATCCCCTCTCCATTCCATTAGGTCTCCTTCTATTTCTATTTTTTTTTTTTTAACTTTTCCTCTATATTTTACAGAGCTTTGATGAAGAACCGGGTCTGCAGAGAATGCTTCCACCTTAACTTCATTATACTTTCCATTCCCTTGCACATCTTTTCTGCATTATGGGCTTGAGTCTTTTATGGTTATCCTTGTCATATATAGAATACGTACATGTACACAGTATTGTCAATTTCTACTGTATGACAGTTGTGTACTGATCGATTATATGAACCTCTCAATGATTTCCTGTAAAAATTTAAATTAAAAAAAAAATCTATTGAAAGTGAGGCAGCTGTAATCGTCTAATCAGTTGCTGTATTCCAGGGCCAAGCTGTATACTGGATATAAAAATCTTTTGTCCTTGCCACTAATCTCACTCTAATCATTCAACAGACCAAACGCTAGAACCTCACTGGCTAGTGAATACTCTGGCAGCAGACTGTATAACATGAGCGGGGCTTAGTATCAGCTTGGTCAAAAGTCAAAACCAATCATCCAAGAATTCCACAGACTGCATGTCTACTTCAGTGCTTACCTTCAGGTATAACTTAAGGCAAAATTTTTTTTGGATTTGAATTGATGAATTGGATAGAGGGGACAGGAATTTCAACATCTGTGCAGGTTTTTTTCCCTGTCCCTATTAGGGAGATTCATCCACTCAATTTGTCCTGTTTACTGTTATAACCAAAACTGAAAGAAAATCCTAATATTTGGCTTGTCACCAGAACAAGAATAGAGGGGAAATCGTCTAATGGGAACACTAGTGCTTGTGACAACCAGGAATTCACTGTTTTTGAAGGAATTTCCTCTCACTTCCTCCCTTCTATGTTTATTATAGTATAGCATTTTATTTAGTTTTTTTAATTTGTTCTATTTCAATTCATGTTATTGTATATATTAATTGGTGGTTAGTGGTGATTTATGTTATGTTTTTTTTTGTGTTTTAGTTTTGTTTGATGTTGTGTTTTGCGCTGTTCTTCGTTGTATCTTAAAAATGTCCTTTCAGAATTAATAGAGTATTCTGAATCTGAACTTCCTGTTTTGCCTATGGGTCAGGAAGTGAAGGGTAATCTCCCCAATAAGACATAAATTGCAAAAATAACAAAAACAAAAACTTAGACCTAGTTTCACACTAGCTTTTAACCACTTGCCTCCTGGAACTTATACCCCCTTCGTGACTAGGCCAATTTTCAGCTTTCATTGCTGTCGCACTTTGAATGACATTTGCGTGGTCATGCAACATTGTACCCATATGAAATTTTTATAACTTTTTTCACACAAATAGAGCTTTCTTTTGTTGGTATTTAATCGCCGCTGGGTGTTTTTTTATTTTTTTGTGCTATAAACAAAAAAAGAACAAAACATTTGAAAAAAAGGTTTTCTTTGTTTGTATTATAAAATTTTGCAAACAGGTCATTTTTCTCCTTCACGGATGTGCGTTGATGAGGCTGCTCTGATAGGCAGCACTGATGAGCATTGATAGGCTGCACTGATGAGGTGGCACTAGTGGGCATTGATGAGGAGGCACTGATGATGCTGCACTGATAGATGGCACTGACGAGTGACGCTGCTGACTGACAGAACTGACTTATCGCACTGCTGGGCACTCATAGGTGGCACTGCTGGGGGCACTGATAATCAGTGCCGTGATGATTAGTGCCGATCTCCTCTGTGACAGCTGCCGGTTATCGGCAGAACTTTCCTCATGCAGCGTGAGGAAAGTGCTGCCGTTAGCCGGCAACTGTATTTACTCTGTGATCTGCTGTGTCATTGGACACAGCTGATCACGTGGCAAAAGGCTTATGTGATTGGCCTCAGGACACAGCGATCACGGAGATCGCCGGGTGCGCACCCGTGGGGGCGCGCAGGAGGGCGCATTCTGGGAAGACGTCATATAACACCCTTCCAGAACTGGGCAACCGCGCTGTAGCCATCATTTTTTACGCCATAATACTATGGGCAGCACACAGTGCCGTTCACATTATCAAAACATGAAGCATAAGCGTCACCTTGCTTCAAATTGAAGCCTCATGTCGAGTCAGGAGGAGTTTGAGGCCTTTCAACGGCTTCCATTCAAGTCTATGGTGACGCTCCTCAAACGCACTGACAGGCGTTTGCGAGGCAGTTGAAGAGCATTAATAACATTACAGTTTATTTAGTTTGTGGTGTGGTTTTAACGCTTGTCAAATGCTTATGAAACGCTTCAAAAGTGCACAAAGGTTGTTTGGGGAGCATTTTTAACACTTGTAAGAAGCCGGTCTAAAGCTCATTAATGCCTCTACTAAAGCTCATTAATGCCTGTCTAACACCTATACTAAAGCTATAGGAGCATTTGGCAAGAGTTAGAAATTTAGTCAAGTATGAACAAGGCTGAAAAACAAAAAAAAAAACCACAGGGGTTATAACCCTTGCTTACAATCCAAAATGAAAGTACAAATTTTGCCTTTATTTCCTATAAAATACTGTAGCTGCTGACTTTTATTAAACACACACACTTACCAATTGTGGGATCCATTGCTCCGAACTGGATCTTTGCTGGTCTTTGTATTCCAGGCACCACCCTCTTGCTTGTGTGAAGCCGGCTGTGACTTCCTGTGGCTTCACAGCCGGCTCCACACTGCGCATGCCCAGTTTTTAGGACTTGACAGATTTACTTTAAGGCCACATAGCTGGGATGTTCAAGGAACATGCTTTCCACCACATGCTCCAACAGTTATTTGAAGCTGTATCACTTTTGAGTGAACTTTCACTGAAGAATGTAGCTTCTCTGTGTGATCTTTTACTTTGCAAACCTTTCCTAAATCTATATATACACAATTAGATAATAATTATTTTTTTTTAATAGGATGAATACAAATGTGCATGGTATCCATCTAAATAAATTTTAAATGTGTATAAAGGTTAAAATATATTTTTACCTTAATACATTCCTTGCTTTAAGGTAAAAATTGTTTAGGCATCCCCCTTCCCCCTTTACTTACCCGAGCCCTCATTTGATCCAGCGCTGTGCTCGTCTTCAACTCTTCCTTCTTCCTGGTCTCACTGACTTTGCTGACCCATTGGCTCCCACTGCTGTCAATCTAAACGAGTGATGTGGCAGGGGGTAGGGCTGAGTCCCAATGTCTGTCTTTAGATGCAGACAGCAAGGCTCAGGAGCGAGCTGGCATGAGTGCTCCCATTGCACGTGGCTTTCTGTGGGGGCACTTGACAAAGGGGAGGTGCTAGGAGCACCAGCGGGGGACCCAAAAGGAGGAGGTTAGGGGCCGCTCTGTGCAATTCCATTCCAGCAGGTAAGTATGAACCTATTTAGTTTTAAAAAAAAAAAACTATGCATTTACAATCACTTTATTGGAACACATGGAACTCTCCTCCTCCTCTTTCAGTTATGTCCCTGTTGCACAAATCAAAAATGGTAGAGAAGCGCTCTGTCTGATGAATTGCAGAAAAGTTTAGCAAAGCATAACTTGTCCCTTTTGAGAATGACAGTCTAACTGAAGGAAATTAAATTTGCTGCTGGTTGGTGAATCCAACCAATCAGTGCAGCATCAGTTCTATAGACACTTGTGTAGTCATATGTTTGGTTGTTCACGCCATTTTATTACACTTCAGCTGTGCCTTTAAAGAGGGCAAGTAGAAATCTGAAATGCAATCTTAGAAGAGTCACTGCAAGTAGGCCAAAAAGTCCATAAAAATCACAACCTGCCATCACTTTTGTACCTCCATTTATTTGAGGTATGGCATTGGCAATTAAATGCCACATGTCATATGTCATAAAATATTAATTTCAACTCAAGTTCATGCGCACAACATTTCTGATTACCTCTCAGACTGAAATCAAAATAGAAAGCTGTAAAATGCCAGAAAGTCATTTGCATTGCCCCCATGTGTCATGCTTTTCTTTTTTGCATGCCATGCTGCAATGTGCAGAGACTTCACAAATAATCCTTTCCTTTGCCATAAACAGTTTTATGAAGTATTCTTGTTCTGCATGCCGATTCCTTGACATTCTATGATGTAGCTATCGGGTGTTGTTTTCATCACATTTTGTCACTGTAAACTTAGCCTGTTGGGAAGTAAAGATGTAAAACATGTTATTTATAAAAAAAAACATACAACACTGAGAAATTATTCTTGAATGACATGCCAACTGATCACTCATGGCTGACCAGCAATAGGCATCAAACCAATGGATTTAAACTAACATGCAAAATATTAACAATATGAACGGACGCCTCTACACAGTCCTGCAGACTAGGCTTTCCACATTTTTTACAAAAACTACCTCACATTTTAACAAGTGTATATACATTTATGGATGTATCAATAGTCTGATAACTCCACTAAACTAGAAGCCACCATAGCTCCTACATGACATCGATCTGTCATTCCGCAATCATGCTTCCTTACAGGATAAGTTCCCCTATACAAAATAATAAATGCTTGTTTTTGCAGGTAAAACAAAAAATGTGCATTTTGTGTCCGTTTACACCCGCCTACCTCTGATCCGAAGAGGATCCATTCTCCTCTGTCCATGCAGATCGGAGGGCAGTCAGGTTTAAACAGACAGTGGAGATTTTTTACACCCCACCACCCATAGAGCAGAGCAGGCTCAGTCCGTGTCACAGTATGATACGGACCTAGATGTGGACCTGTCATCTGCCTGCTCTGCTCTAACTAGCAGATGATCAGCGGACAGATTCCCTGCTGATCTAAAAGGAGTTCACCACATGTGAAAGGGGCCTAAATATGGGTGTGGCTTTTAAATGTCATGACTGTCTCTCAACTGTATCCAATGGGTATCTTTTATTCTCTCCCACTTAAAACTAATTTGGAAGACCAAAGGGAAGCAAATGAATGTTCATTTATAGTCCATTGTTACACAGTCCAGGTTTACAAACACTTCAAACATCTCACAAAAAGTATTTGTAAATAAAGAGATTGCAGTGTAGTCGGGTATTTAAGAATTTTTTTTTTCAGTTAGTTCCTTTTGCTGAATAAGACAAACCCGCCATATGCTTTATTCTAGAGATCTACAGTATGTGGCAACAGAAGAGGTCTGTGAAGATCTCCACAAGATGGGGATGTGACTGTGCTTTTGCACATTTGTTCTGGCCTGATATCCAAAAAATTTCTTATCAGATTTGTTGAACCTTCCTTTAGTAAAAGATCTATACAGTAAATGTGGATATTATTCAGGGGAAATATTAAGAAGACACATTGTGCAGGGTAATTCTTTAATATGCCTGTAAAGCCATAGCATTTCACTGGAAATCTGCTACTGTTCTCAAGCTCTTGTACCAAGAAAAGCGAATTAACCTACCTCTTCCTTTGTACAAATGTACTTAGATATTAGCAAACTTATCTGCACACTGTCCAAGACCACTGGAGAGATTGGGGTTGATTTACTAAAGCCAAATAGACTGTGCACTTTGCAATTGCAGACAAATTTATTTTGACTGCTGATTTCCATCATCCAATCATGCACAAGCAAAAATACAGTTTTTTTTTTAAATTGTCCTTGCACCTGATTGGGTATTCCTTACAAAGTGGAGCTTCACCACAGTAAACCAGTTAACCTCTGAGGAAATTGAGTTTGGCTGCACTTGCAAAGTGCACAGTTTATTTGCCTTTAGTAAACCAACCCCAGTGTCTTTCAACTGTTGAGGGTCCAAATTACATGATGGTTAATTTACTACCTTGTTTATTCATTTAACACAACTATCATAAGGGCCTTCAGTAATTAATTCATATGTGTAAATTATGTTTCTTACAGTAAATTAAAAAAAATCAATAACTAACTGTATCTTGCTGACTTTTGGTGATCTTAGCTTTCACAGGTTCACATGGACAAATGATTGCTGAAAGGTTGCATGGGTTACAGCGCCTTACACATAGATCTTTGTTTTGATCGGGACTTACCTTTGTTAATTGCTCTGTGAAGTGTATGGCTGTTTGAGTATGCAGGGTAAGAGGACCTGTCTTAATCTGAGAGACTCCATCTGCCAGAGCCATGAAAATAATCAACTGTAGAGATAAGAAAATAATAATATTCAACATTGCAGTTGCTTTGATACAAACTGACACAGCCATTGGAACATTTTCTATGTGGCATGAATCAACTAAAATTTGAGCCATGTATGGCAGCCTTAGGTATGTTCACCATCCATATCCCAACATCTTTATGATAACATTTTTGAAGTCCTAGTCAGACATTATGGCTCATTCACACAGGCATATTGATACGTACACCCCTGTGAAGGGGGGGGGGCATCTTCATCTGTGCAGGATGCAGACCCATGCAGGTAGACTGATAGAATGAATCATAGGTTACCAGCTGAACAGACTTGCATGGATCTGCACGTTCATCGTGGAGGGTACATCTTCATACATGTTATCTCATGAGTACTTCAACAGTATAGTTTTTAGCAAAATTAATTTATACTCTGCATGGTATATGTAATGCATTTTTAGGCATTATTTATATATATTTTTTTAAATTACAGTGTGCAGGAGCTAACAGGGAAGAGATCTGTTTATACACAGGTCTTTCCCTCTGTCAAAGACACTCGGTGATCACCAAGTGCCGCCGAGTAATCACCGTCCGGGACCCGGTGATTGACAGCTGAGGCCGCGAATGGCGGCACGGATAGGGCGCGTGCGTCCCCTACCCGGAACTGCAAAATTACGTATATATTTATTTTTTTAATATATTATTACCATTAATTTTCAATATATCACACTACACTATCATAATTTTGAGACATACAACAATACACAATTCCCTTATACCTCTTCATTCTAATGAAAAGAAAAAAAAAAAAAAAAAAACACCCACCCACCTGCTCTCACCCCTTTTCCCCCTTCTGCTCCCTAATATTTTTCCCTCTCATCTCCTCACTCCTTCTCTTTTCTCTTCACTCTATAGGCACCCTTCTCTTTATAATCTCCTCTCTATTTTTTCTTTAAATTGCTCTTTGAACTTATCCCATCTTTGTCTGAATCTCTCCATTCCATCTTCTTCCTGTTGGTAGAGTTCCTCCATTATATTTATATATATATATATATATATATATATATATATATACAGTCATGGCCGAAATTGTTGGCACCCTTGATATTTCTCCAGGAAATCATGTATTTCTCACGAAACGTATTGCATTAACACATGTTTTGCTATACACATGTTTATTCCCTTTGTGTGTATTGGGACAAAACAAAAAAAGGGAGGAAAGAAAGCAAATTCGACATAATGTCACACAAACCTCCAAAAATGGGCTGGACAAAAGTATTGGCACCCTTTCACAACTGCGGATAAATAAGAATGTTACAAGCATGTGATGCTCCTGTAAACTCACCTGGGGCAAGTAACAGGTGTGGGCAATATAGAAATCACACCTGAAAGCAGATAAAAAGGAGAGACGTTCACTTAACCTTTGCATTGTGTGTCTGTCTGTGCCACACTAAGCATGGACAACAGAAAGAGGAGACGAGAACTGTCTGAGGACCTGAGAACCAAAATTGTGGCAAAATATCAACAATTTCAAGGTTACAAGTCCATCTCCAGAGAACTAGATTTGCCTTTGTCCACAGTGCGCAACATTATCAAGAAGTTTGCAACCCATGGCACTGTAGCTAATCTCCCTGGTCGTGGACGGATGAGGAAAATTGATGAAAGATTGCAACGCAGAATAGTCCGGATGGTGGATAAGCAGCCCCAAACATGTTCCAAAGACATTCAAGCTGTCCTGCAGGCTCAGGGAGCATCAGTGTCAGCGCGAACTATCCGTCGACATTTAAATGAAATGAAACGCTATGGCAGGAGACCCAGGAGGACCCCACTGCTGACACAGAGACATAAAAAAGCAAGACTACAGTTTGCCAAAATGTACTTGAGTAAGCCAAAAGCCTTCTGGGAAAACGTCTTGTGGACAGATGAGACCAAGATAGAGCTTTTCGGTAAAGCACATCATTCTACTGTTTACCGAAAACGGAATGAGGCCTACAAAGAACAAAACACAGTACCTACGGTAAAATATGGTGGAGGTTCAATGATGTTTTGGGGTTGTTTTGCTGCCTCTGGCACTGGGTGCCTTGACTGTGTGCAAGGCATCATGAAATCTGAGGATTACCAAAGGATTTTGGGTCGCACTGTAGGGCCCAGTGTCAGAAAGCTGGGTTTGCGTCCAAGATCCTGGGTCTTCCAGCAGGACAATGACCCCAAACATACGTCAAAAAGCACTCAGAAATGGATGGCAAAGAAGCGCTGGAGAGTTCTGAAGTGGCCAGCAATGAGCCCAGATCTAAATCCCATTGAACACCTGTGGAGAGATCTTAAAATTGCTGTTGGGAAAAGGTGTCCTTCCAATAAGAGAGACCTGGAGCTGTTTGCAAAGGAAGAGTGGTCCAAAATTCCGGGTGAGAGGTGTCAGAAGCTTATTGATGGTTATAGGAAGCGACTGATTTCAGTTATGTTTTCCAAAGGGTGTGCAACCAAATATTAAGTTAAGGGTGCCAATACTTTTGTCCAGCCCATTTTTGGGGTTTTGTGTGACATTATGTCATATTTGCTTTTCTGCCCTGTTGTTTTATATTTGTTCCAATACATACAAAGGGAATAAACATGTGTATAGCAAAACATGTGTTAATGCAATACCTTTTTTGTGTGAAATACTTGATTTTCAGGAAAAATATCAAGGGTGCCAACAATTTCGGCCATGACTGTATATATATAGTAAACCCTACTTATCCAATCTTTATTTTTTGGCGTTTCCTGCTCTTGCCAAAATTTAGTTATCAACCCCTTTGCTGCATTCATCAAATGAAATGCCAGTGAGTTTTTCTACTATAGTCTCAGTTTTATGGAATAAGCATGTGCCTGGATATTTTGGGACCTCAACCCCCATTATCTCCTGAATGAAATAAATTATTTCTTCCTAATACTTCTGAATACAGTGTATACGTGATTTTTGTTGGAAAATCACGCATATATATACACACATGATTTTGTGCACCTGTGCCACGCTGTAGCAGAACCGGCGCGGAACCAGTTAATAAGTAGTAGTACATATACTCATATGAATATATCTGACAGAGTACAACAGTTATATTCAGGTAATGTCAGAATCTTGACCTTCAAGCTTTTTCTCTTAAAACCTCAGGTCATACCTGGTCCTGGAGATACTCATCGACACAGCCTCCATGACGCAGGTTACGGAGAAGGATTTCTGCAGCTTCAGCCCCTACACGGTCTGCAGTTACTCCTGAATTTCACAGAACAATTGAGTGAACAATGGAAGTAAAATGCACAGATAAAATTGCACCACAAACACATGACAATTTCAAAACAATCCTGTAAATTAATTCAAGCTGAAGAGTATGCAACAAAGTGGTGAAATGTCCAATGATTAAGTGCAAACTACACAACCCATAGTAACTCATCAGAATTTACATGACTATTATCAAACTAGTAAAAAAATGAAATAGGACTGATTACAATGGCTTAATGAACTTTGTAAATAATTTATTCATGGAACTGGATAGTCGATCACATCACATCCCAAACTCAACTGTTATGCCAAATCTTATATAAAAATGAAAAGTATATATAAGATTTGGCATTACTGCACTTTTTGCTATATAATAAATTAAGACTGATAATCATAGTGTATTTTGCATGTAGTAGATGTATGCTTTCAGCACCTTGTTTTTCACTTGCAGAGAAGATGGGCTGGTAGCAAATGATAGCAGAAACACATTGCATGCTCTCCTTCTGCACATCATAGTTTTGCATGATGATGATTATGGACAGTTTAACCCCTGGTTCACATATTCGCATTCCTGAGGACCGCGTTTTGCGCGAGCACGAGAGCCCATTCATTTGAATGGACTCCCGTGCCCCAGGACACGCAGGGAAGAAGTCCCTGCACTTCTTCTGAATCCGCAGCCCGCACAGGAACCTTGGTTCCCAGTAGGGTTGTGATTTCTAGTGCGGGCAGCGTGCTATTAGAATTAATGGCACCCGCCCGTGGGTCCGCATTCCTCTGTGCGGGTGGTGAGGCTGCATGGATTTTTGTGCAGATCTGCAGCGGCACCATCTGCACATATGTGAACCTATCCTTAAGGCATGTACTGTATACCTTCCTACCTGCACAAGATGTGCATTGATCATCTAGTCAATGATATCACGTGTTGCCCTGTATGCACAGCCTATAGTAGAATATATCTTCACATTACAGAGTTGACAGTTTGTGCTAAAACATGAGTTATTCAGCATAGCACTGCACAGGTTAATGGATGACCTTTGTCAGTAGTACAAGACCTGACACTTCCTGGGAAGAAACTATATATCCCACAATCCCTGGGTCTCCCAGTCTAGTATTCATGTAGATGGGAGCTACACAGTAAATTAGATCTGACACAGACACAAGCATTCACAGATACACAGAGAGCTCACTGAGCTGGGAGATTATGTACTTCCCCACAAGTTTCAGCTCTCATACAGAGCAATACTTGCTCCCAACCTCAGCCATTCATTAAATGCCTTGTATTTGATTAACAGAATACAAGGCATTATGTGATTGACAAGGGGGGTCCTGGCATTCATCAGCCCTGCCTCTCTTCTTGTCAGATCACAGAGGACTTTGTATTCTGTAAATAGAATACAAGTAGTTTTTTTTGAATGGAGGAGTTGGGAAGCGAGGTGTGCTGTTCATGACAATACAAGAGACAGAACTTTTATTTACAGATCTGGAGCTTCAGTGCTTACAGTAGTGTTCAAGCTGAATGAAACTAAAAGTCTTACCTAACGCAACAGCCAGCCTCACATGTGAGAGGTACTTTACCTCAAACAGTCAAGAAGACTGTCCATTTGTCTATTCATACATTGCCTTATATTGTAATGAATAAGGGAGAAGCAGAGCAAATGAATGTCAAGACCTCCCCCTGTCCAATCACAGAATGCCTTGTATTCTACCAATAAAGTACAAGAAAGTTTATGAAGCAGCTGAGACCAAGTGATGCTCTCCTTGACTGCATGAGTGACAGAACTTTGATTTAAAGCTCCGGAAGTTCAGTACTTGTTGGGGCTGAATGAATCTCAGAGTTTTAACTAATGCAGCAGCCAACCTCATATGAGACACCCATCATTACAGGTAATTTTGTTGGTACATAGCAAATATCCAAAAATAGTTTCAAAGAAGAACTCCAGCTAAAGAGAATATTAAAAGATGGAATAACAAAACCAACTATTTGCTGAGCTATTTAGCTTCAATCCAAAAATTAGTCCCACCGTCCTTGTTTTCTAGTTGTCCTCAGTGAGATGATCAGCATCATTCAACCCATTTCCTCTGAGATGGACCTTGTCCAGGACCCACCCGAGCCAGTCAAAGGAGAAGCAGCACAGTGATTTGATGAAAAGATAGCGGAGAATCACATGTGGCTCCTAAATCACAGTGTACTATTGTGGTTTCCCATCAGCAATAACTGACAATTTCAGTTTTGATCTGAGGTGTGTATTCAGGTCATTAGACGTGCTATAGTAATAAAACCGTACAGCTCTGTCATTACATTTGTCTTTTTAATTACAGCAATGCAGGCTCCTTGGGACTCCAAGAAAATTCTGTGCTGGAGTCCTATGCCTATTAATTCGTTTTTTTTTCTAGGACTTTCTGTACAATTAAAACAAACACATTTACCCAGTATTAATACAATAAATATCATGAGGATCATAATAATGAAAGAGCTCAATAAAAGGGACTAAAATTTACAAAAGCCAGAGCAAATTTAGAGCTGCTGCCACTAGCAATTAATGGGCTGACACATGAGAGAGATGAAACCGTATTTTCTTCTGTTGAATAAACTATTATGAATCTGGGCTTTTTCTATTGTTCATCTATAAGTGAAACAGTATGACAGACAGAAAGCATTGCAAGCCATACTCAATATTTGGCAATGCCTTTTCAAATTCAAAAATGGAAATCATTTTAAATTGAAGTGCGGGCTCTTAAAAAAAACAAACACACATGCTCACCTATGTGGATGCGGCATTGGTCTGATGCTGCATCTGTCCTCCGCCGCCTCCAAGACTGAGAACTGAGTGATCAAACACCACTGATTGGTCTGTTCTCGGTCTTGAGTGAGCACAGAGATGGTGACTATCAGTCATTAACTCTCTGCTCTGACCCCCCAATGTTCACTGGAGCACTGGGCTGTGAAGATGACAGGAGTAGCTGGCTCAGGCTGTCAGTGGTTTGCTGAGAGCTGCCAGTCAGGCATCTGGGAGGATCCCGACATTATTGTCAGGATCCCTACAAAACCTAGACAAGCTCTGTAACATCAGCCAACATCTGGCTAACGAAGTGCACTCCTGTGATCCCCAAGAGATGGATGGCCAAAAGAGCTTTGGCCAGTATAATTCTTTACTAAACAAATGCGCTGTCAACTTTAATAAAATGCAGTATAATGCATGCAGAGACTGATAGTTTGTCACTTATATTGACAAATAAATAATGACCCAAATAAACAGAAATATATGAATAAATAGTGATCCAAATAAATACCTTAAAAACATGTAATAAAATTCACGAAGGTTCAAAAATATTATTCAAAAAACAAGCCAGGTGTTGTGAAGAATAAACGTGCTCAATCTGTGCACACAGTAGAAGTAGTGATCTAGTGCTTCCAATCCTCACCTCCATGCATACCACCAAGAGAGATAAAAAGTCTCTTACCAGAAGACAAGACCTCTAAATAGAAGGTCTGACAGCGCTTTGGGAGAAAGCCCACTTAAAATAGTTACTAAACCCAGAACCCTGCATCCACTATATCCTGTCTCCCACAGTACACGGAACATGGAAATGCAATTATTTTAGTAAATATAAACTGCTAAATACCTTTTCTCATCAGCAGTTAGAGCAGTCTTGTGACAACTATCAGTGTTCATCCAAGCACATGTTAAAGCTTGTAGGAGGAGTTTTCATTCTGTTGTAGGAGGATGCAGGACCCCTGACCTCTGTCTGGACAGTGCTGATTGGCCCTGTGCTGATCACATGCACTCTCCAAAGAAAAAAAAAACCCTCTCTAGCCATACACACCAAACTGAGCATGTGCAGAGTGACTCCACACAATATATCTTATCGTGAGATAAGAGGGGGGCACTGGAAGAAGGGAGCATCAGAGAAGACAGGATCAAACAGCGTTTTGACACAGTGCAGAGGATTAACACCTTAGGTTCCACAGTGACTATAACAAGCATGCTTTACTGCATATACAGACTGATTTTACTGCTGTGGGTTTAGTAACACTTTAAATCAATAAATTTAGTTCTGCTTTAATAGTGCATACTACTCCTCAACAGAATGGGTCCACTGTATTATAAAATGTCCTTGACCCTGTACTGCAGTGAACAATGATTTTGTGGTGGAATAGGTTTATGTAGAGCAAGAACTGCATGTGCTGGGGAATATACTGTGACAGACACTTTAAGGATGGATGGATGGGTGGGTATGCACTAAGACCAGTCCAGTGGGTCCAGTGGCAGTCAGCCAACTAGTGCAGTAAATACTGACCTCTCTCCTGATACTGCCGTCATGCACCAAGCAAAACTCTGGAAAAGATCATTCAACAGAGCCACCTCTTGCAGTCCTGAACAGATTTTCCAAGGAAGCACACACACACTCTCCTGTAGGATCTTTCTGAAGAAACTGCTTCTTGCTTCACCATGTCCATCATAATCCTGCCATTATCTAAAACCAAGACTTTGCTGCTATTTATCTACAATATAGTGCTGATCTGTACTGCGATTTATCCCACCATATATTGCTGAGCATTAAAGCTTCACTTTTTACCATGAAATAATAAAGCATGAGGTCTTTAAAATATACTTTCTCGAACTAAAGCTGCTATTTGACTTTTTGCTAAGTAGCATATACTGAAAAGGGCTTAGGGTAAATGGACAATTTCAGAGTCTTCAAGTCCCTTCTTGCGTGAACAAGAGCCAAAGCAATTCATCAAACCCTATAGGAAGAATTTACAAAGTACATTCCAGCAATATATCTATGGGTCACAGCAGCAGAAAGAAACTGAATAATAATGGGGCAGCACAGTGGCTAAATGGTTAGCACTTCCACCTGGCAGTACTAGGGTTGTTGGTTCGATTCTGCCATGGCACCACCTGCCTGGAGTTTGCATGTTCTCCCTGTGCCTGCGTGGGTTTTCTCCGGGTACTCGGTTTCCTCCCACACTCCAAAGACATGCTGGTAGGTTAATTGGCTCCTGTCTAAATTGGCCCTAGTATGTGTATGTATGAATGTGAGTTAGGGACCTTAGATTGTGCACCCCTTGAGGGTTAGGGACTGATGTGAATGTACAATATATATGTAAAGTGCAACATAAATTGACTGCGCTATATAGGTACCTTAAACAAATAAATAAATAAGCAAACGGGTGTCATTACATTTGGGCTGTTGAGCTGCAGCCCTGAATGGAAGTGCAACGGTTGGATGAAGGGGCACACATGCCAGGTTGACAACACTTTTACTATTGTCAGTCTGGCACAGAAGTGCTGCAACGTGCAGAATCTCTAGATAAGAAACGATGCAAAAGATAATAAAAAATTATTTGTTTGAGAAAACTGTATACCATGAAGCCAAAAATACTAAAAAGTAGATTAAGTTAAGGTTACGATAAAAAAAAAAAAAAAAAAAAAAGAAGTCATCAAAATGGGAAATTACATAAAGCAGTGTGCTGATATGTTTACATACCATATTTCAACATCAGTGAGTAAAGTTGAGCATAGTTTGGTGTCAAGGTATCACAGTACGGTGAATACTTTGATTGCTAGCAAAGAGATTCACATATATGTTCATATGATGTTGTAATTCTTGGTTGCTTGTCAACTCTTAAAATGGAATGAAAAATCTTCTGTGGTGCTTATGGAGTAAATGTTTTACGGTTTCTGTTTGGTTACGTTTTTGCTTTACTTGACTTTTATAAAGTATGTATTCTACAATTTTCATAGACAAGGTGCTCTCACTGTGCTGCAAATTGTGTTTGTTGAAAATAAAAAGCTTTTGAACCAAAATGTATCCGACTACAAATAAAAGGGAAATCATACACCATCAATCATCATCAGATTAAAATTTGTGTGAGGACCATTAGTATTGATACTTGACATGAAGCTTGCTGCATGGTCAGTGGGGAATCTCTCATATAGTCCAGTATCTTAAGCAATTCAAATAGAGCAGTATTACCTTTCTTCCCTAGTGAGGATCCTGCAAATATACAACCTGTGGAAGACTCAGCAACGATTCTGCAAAAGAAATAATTATTATTATTATTATTACATCGAGTTTATATAGCACCAAAGGGTTTGCTCAGCGCTGTACAATAGGGGGGACAATACATGGCACAGTACAACAAAAACAGACAGCGTACGAGGGGTAAGAGGGCCCTACTCTTTCAAGCTTACAATCTAGGAGGGAGGGGGTAATGGTACAGTAGGAAGTGGCTGAGGGGAATGAAGTGGTGGGAGGAATGAGGGAGAATGGCAGTTAGGTGAGGGTGGGGTAGGCTTCCCTGAAGAGATGGGTTTTTTGAGGGAGCGCCTGAATGTGGGGAGGGAAGGCGACAGTCGGATGGATTGGGGCAGTGAGTTCCAGAGGATAGGGGAGGACCTGGAGAAGTCCTGCAGTCGTGCATGGGAGGAGGAGACCAGGGAGCAGGATAGAAGGAGGTCCTGTGAGGAGCGAAGGGTACGGGTAGGGTGGTACTTGGGGATCAGGTTGGTGAGGTAGTCAGGGGCAGTGTTGTGAACGGCTTTGTAGGTCAGGATTAATAGTTTAAATTTGATGCGTTGGGCAATCGGGAGCCAGTGGAGGGAGAGGCAGAGGGGGGTGGCAGAGGTGGAGCGGGTGGTGAGGTGGATGAGTCTGGCCGCTGAGTTCAGGATGGTCTGGAGCGGGGAGAGCCTGCACTTGGGTAGGCCAATGAGAAGAGAGTTGCAGTAGTCAAGGCGTGAGATGATGAGGGAGTGTACAAGAAGTTTGGTGGTGTCTGGGGTGAGGAAGGCACGTATCTTGGCAATATTGCGGAGATGGAGCCTGCAGGTGTTTGTAAGTGATTTGACATGAGGGAGGAAGGAGAGGTTCGAGTCAAGAATGACGCCAAGGACTTTGGCTTGCGGGGCGGGAATGATAGTGGTGTTGGTGGTGGTGATGGATAGGCTGGGGGGGGGGGGGGTGTGGGCAGGGGGAAGACGAGGAGGTTTGGTTTTGGAGAGGTTAAGCTTGAGGAAATGGAGCGACATCCAGTCTGAGATGTCGTTTAGGAGGCGAGTGATGCGGGCGGAGATAGTGGGGGTGAGGAGAGGGGTGGAGAGGTAGATTTGGGTGTCATCAGCATAGAGGTGATAATTGAAGCCATGGGAGTGTATGAGTGTGCCCAGGGAGGAGGTGTAGATGGAGAAGAGAAGGGGTCCAAGGACAGAGCCTTGGGGGACCCCAACAGAGAGGGGGAGGTGGTACCATTGTAGGTGATGCTGAAGGAGCGTCGGGATAGGTAGGATGAGAACCAGGAGAGAGCGGTATCTCTGATGCCAAGGGCCATAATACAAACATAATAATCATTAACAGATAATAAAGTAGATATTTTTTAAAAGATGTTAACCACTTGCCCTCCAGAGGATTTATCCCCCTTCCAGACCAGGCCATTTTTTGCGATACAGGGCTGCGTTAATTTAACTGACAATTGTGCAGTCATACAACGCTACACCCAAATGAAATTTGCGTCCTTTTTTCCCCACAAATAGAGCTTTCTTTCAGTGGTATTTGATCACCTGTGCATTTATTTTTTGTGCTGTGAACAAAAAAAGACCGACAATTTTGAGAAAAAAAAAAACAATATTTTTGACTTTTTGCTATTAAACATGCCCAGGAAAAAAAAAAAATTTAAATCAAATTTCGGCATAAATGTAGGCCAAAATGTATTCTGCTACATCTCTTTGCTAAAAAAAAAAATTCCAATACATGTAGATTGCAGGAGTGCAGACTCCAGTGTGCTCCAGTGTGCAGGAGCTTACAGGGGAGAGACCTGTGTCTCTCCCGTCGGAGATACTTGGTGATCACCGGGTGCCGGCGAGTAATCACTGGCCGGGACCTGGTGATCGACAGCCGAGGTCACAAAAGGCCTACCTGGAAAAGCAAAATCACGCATATATATGTGATTTTGCGCACCCGTGCCGCCCTGTAGCAGTAGGTCTGCTATAGGGCGGTGCGGAAGCGGTTAAATTTATACTGCAACAACAATCATGCCTACCTTCATACAAGTCATAAAGCATTCTGTGTTTACAGACAACTGTGTATCATCCATACAGTCTCATGCATACACTAGTGTTCCCCCAAAGGTCTTCATACAACCCATAGACATAGACCCAGACAACACTTACATAATCCCACTACCGTTTCCCACTGCTTTGTCTGCAGGCTCTTGGACACCTTGAATATTAACATACAGATCCCTCAACTCCCGTCTTATGCAGCGTACTGCTGCTGAAATCATGTCCTTCACCATCTTGCAGAGAGATCAAAGAAAAATTATGGTTATATTAGGTTTTTTAAAGAAAATTAAATTAATTTGATATAACGCACTCTATTTTTGCTGAAATCTGAGTGAAATATGTAAATTATATTTTTAGAACAAATGTTATGCATAATTTCTTCAGCCAGGGATGTTACAGTATGTAAATTAATAAAATAAAGCCTGACTATGAAAATGCTACTAAAATGAGAAAGACGAGTAATGCAGGGGAGGCAGTTGCCATTTGTTAATATTTGTAGTCTAGTCCTATCTCCAGCTTTATTATGCTAATTGCATTGATATTGGGCAAGATAACTGTTAAGACAGCACTAAAAAGCTCAGCAGAGTTTAGACACATCTCTATACACAGAGTTAAACCACAATGGTAGAAATAATGCTAGCCATACACTAGTAGAATTTTGTTTGAAAGTTTTCATTTTAAGATTGCGTGCTCAATTTTCTAATTGTTAGTGGGGTCAAACCGCTGTTCCTTTTTTTGGCCACAGTCAAGAGAAGAAATTGCGAAGGAGCAGGATGGCAAATTTTCCTTGAGGCCCAGTTCATACCATGAATCTCCCAGGAAAGTGTTGTACATTCCTATGTGAATCACATGCAATCCGGGTGCAGTGCGATTTCAGCCCAGTCATTTAAATGGGGTGAAACAACATTGGACCGCGCCAAAAGTAGTGTATGCATTACTGTATAAAACACACAGCAACCGCATTGTGTTTGCGACCTGAGTTTCGGGTGTCATGTTAACACTCGCTGCAGATCACAACTTCAGTGCATTTCAAAAACGGTGCGGGAAATGCAGGTTTCTTGCACCACGTTCTTATGTGAACTGGCCCTGAATGATCAAGTGGTTTGTGGTTTTTATTTGGGAAAGTCCATTTACTCCAAAATCAAAATGTTAAAGGCAAATGTTTTTTGAAGTACTTTCAACTGACATTTGTCAAAATGATCGAATGTACAATATTCGCACAAATGTTTGTAAGAAAATCTACTACTTGTATGGCCAGCTTAAGAGTAGTCCCAAAAATGGGTAAAGCAGCTAAAATCGCAAAGGGTGATTTTTAGTAGTTCAATCAGGCTTCCAAAATTGTGCACAACAAACCAAGAGTAGAGATCGATCTCCCACTGATGGAACATATTTCTCCCCATGACGACAACGGCTACAAAGTAGAATGTAATAGTGGTTATTTGCCCACAACTGCTGTATTATGCTACCATGTGTGATTAATTGTTGCTGTAGATGTATATAACTGTCCTATTAGAGACACAAGTGCATTCTCAGAATGTGGGCACCTTATGTAGCTGTGCCAAGATCCCAGTCAGACTTTCTTCTATTCTGATAAGCTGTTCTCATTCATTTATTTATGTAGCCTGGCAATAGCAGCTTTGGCTGGACAAGAAGATAAATAAATCAGATGGACCAATTAACTATTTGCTGAACTGAACATCTTTTATATACCTTTAGTTTTTTTTGTTTTTGTTTTTTTAATTTGGGGCTAGTCATTCCTTGAAAAATACATTTCTGTGAAGAACATATAGACCTCCTATTAGTGTCAAAAGGTGCTTATTACACCAAGACAATTTTTTCCACCATGTAATGAGTTCTCAAAAGAAAAAAAAACAACCTTAAAATAACATGCTTAACTGCAACTGCATGTTATATCCTCTGCAGGCATACCAAGACCATCTTAGAGCAAGTAACACAACTGATTTGGAAATGTTGGAAGTCCACTTTTCTCACTGCCTTTTGTGGTGCAATTTGAATTATTATTATTATTATTCAGAATTTACATGGAGCCAACAGTTTGCACAGTGCAGTTCCAATACAATTCAAGGCAAATGAGTTAAGGAGGCCCTGCTCATGAGAGCTTACAATCTAAAGGAATGGCAATGATTGACATGACTGCATTTACACAAAAACTATATAGGAAATGCACAAACTGACCTTGTAAGGAAGAACTCCAGCCACATAGGCCCGTCCATAGATTTTTGTGATGGTACCTCGGTCTGTTAGGTTGATAGGCTTCAAATATTTTATAGGAGATACTCTGACTAGGATTTCCCCTCCTCCACGTGGGTAGTAACCCCTGCAACAAAAAATAGTGGTTAGCACCAGATAAGAAATGCTCAACACATTATGCCAGCCAATATGTTGTTTTTCATTTTGTAAACAGATCATTATAAATATCTTCGCTAAGTAACTATATACAATATATAAGACATAAAATCTAATTAGCTTTATAGGACTGATCTGCATTGTAGGTTTTCTAATTGTTAGTGGGGTCAAATCGATGTTCCTTTTCGACAGCAGTGACGGGAAATTTCGAAGGGGCAGGAAGGAAAACTTTTCTAGATCAAACAAATTTTCGGCCAGTGTATGTAGTTATCGTTCAGAAATTACATTCATTTTAAAGTTGAATGTTAAAAGCAAAAGACAATTTGCTAACGACATTTATCCATTCGTTGAATGTTCAAAGAATTTTCATACAACTTTTCTTACGAATATTCTCATCCAAAAATCTACACGTATATGGCCAGCCTTAAACCACATGCTCTGGATCCCTCTGCCTGCTTTGCTCACCAAAAAAACCATGCCCTCTCACCTAAGAGTGGGAGAGAAAAGGAAGGCTGGTAACCCTACAGGTTCTGCTCATGCAGAGATGTATGTGAGCTGGTTGCAAACAGTTCAAATCCCATATACCAGGTCTGAACTGGCAGGGATCAGCAGCAGTTTTTCTATACTGCAAACTGCCAAGATCCCTTTTGTTAACTGGATGCAAAACCCACCCCAGGTCTATCTGCTTTGGTAATGTGGTGCACACCACGTGTTCCAGTTTGTTAATTCCCCCAATTGACCCCGTTTTACTAAAGGGGTTGAGAATGTTTACTCAGACAAAAAAAACAAACATTCACTTCAATTAACGAATCATCTAAAAAGCAAAACTCTATTTATTTAGTCATCACATTGGATAATTGAAGTGGATCTTTTTTTAATTCTTAACTCCTTACATAAATCAGCCACAAAAATACAAATTACATTATATATAGCAATACAATGTTTCATTTCATTTTTATTTGTTACAAATTGGTTTACCTTTTCCTAATGTCACAATCCAGTTTAAAACCAAAACGCTCTGCAGCAGGTTTAAACACCTGAATTAAACAGATTAAGAAACATTTGATAAGTATTAGTCAGACTACGTTATGAATGTACAATTCTAGTATTTATCTATTAGTGCCCTTGTACTCAGGCATTTGGCTGCATTGCTACATTTTCCACGTATTTAATGTTGATATCTAATAAGATACAACCCCCCCCCTATAATCTCATGTATTCATGAGAAAGTGAAATGATTTTTTACATATAACTAGCATTAGCACCTGAATCTATGAATTGTTGTAAACATTTATTTTTTATATAAAATAACAGGTTATACCTACCTGCTCTCTGCAATGGTTTTGCACAGAGAAGCCCCATCTTCCTCTTCTTGGGTCCCCCTCCAGCTCTCCTGGCTTCACCACCAATGGCTCCCGCAAGGGAGAGAGCCTGGAGAGCCACGATTCTCATGCATATTGCTGGTTTGAATCAAACTTAGGTGTGGGGGGGGGGGGGGTGAGAGCTGCATTCAAAAGGTTTTTCACCTTAATCAGCCTTTAGAACCACTTTAAATGAGTCTCCGTAATCCCCTGCCCAAACGGTTTTAAACTGGCAATGTGAGAGGTAGTGCTCTCAGCCAGGCAGTGCTCTACTGCTTTGCACATTGCTGGCAGTAAGGAGCTTATGGACACCAGCTAGCTCACGTTAAGGATGCGCATAAAGCAATGCATTATGTCCACATCTAACTTTTTTCAGGCACACCAGTGCTGCACATTGGTGTGAACTGAAGCAAAATGATACAAGATAAATTGCTTTGGCTATATGTTGACAATGCTGCCCAGTGCCATTTAATGGGGCTGTTGTGAACAAGCCGCAAACAACATGCCCCCAGAAGGTGATAGAACATGGATGGCTTGATTTGTGTGCTCCTACACTATTCAATCACTTATCCTTGGTGTGTGTTCTGGACCAACGCTGTCCAATGTAACTCAACATGGCTGGTGTGAACAAGCCCAAAGGAACATGCTTACAGAAGGTGAGAGAACAAAGATGACTTAATCCGTGTGCTCCTGCTCCTACATTGTCCAATCACTTGTCTTTGGGGTGTGTCCTGGACCAAGCTGTATCTCTCAAATACAGTAAAGTCTGCACACAAGTCCAGCTGTACTGCAGGGGTGCTTGATCACAACTGTAGCTTAAGGTGCTACCCTATATATTTATTTTCTATTTGTGTGTTCACATACAGTATGTGTATTTTATAAATCCTAGTCTGCATCATTTTCATGCGCTTCTTGCATCTGAAGTACCTGGTTGATCCTGACAGTCACCTTTTTTCTTTGTTTTAAACTAATCACACAATGCACAGAAGCTGATCGGTGCATGTGTGGTCAGTTTACATCCTTTGTCTGGCCAATCGGAGGTGCAGGACACTGTGCAGACACACAGCATGCCTGTATTGAGTAGTTTGTTCGACCACCATGTCCCCCCCCACCAATCACAGCTTGCCTCTGGTACACACCCCCTCCCAATCACAGCCTGCATCTTGCCTCTTTGCACAGTGTCCTGTAATCCCGCCCCCACTATCAGGAAGAAGAGATGTATGGTCACATAACAGAACTTTTTAACCTTGAGAAAAAAGTAAGTATAATTTCTGAAACCAAGCAAAAGCAGTTACGGAGCCTGCATAGTTATAACTGCATTAGAAAGTGCCTATAACATTGTATGTTCACAGCTAAGCTTACAAATCTGTTGGCAGGTAAAATAGATCATATGTACAGTATGTATTTAAAATGTGTATTTAGCCATTTGCCTGGAGTGTTAATGTCCACTGTGGCCAGAAGATAGATATGTAGTCAGTGGACATAGTCTTCATTGTTCTTTATAGTAAACACAAGCTACAAATAAGGCTGAATCAGCACACCGCAAATCTCAGCAAGTGGAGAAATGCAAGCAGGCTCATGCATAATAAATGCAACCATTTGTCTGTATGGAAAGGCTCTAACATAGGTCCAATATAAGCTACACACTAAACAATTTTCATTAGTGATGTGACAGGCACCAGGGTTGTATAGTTCAACAAATGAGCAGTACACAGTATGTAGAAGAATATCTTTCAACACGCTTTCAAATTTCTGCACAGGCCATTATGAAAAAAAAAAAACAATCAAGAATGAATCATCTATCCCCCAAAAAAAAACTTACATCCCAAAGCTGTCATGCACCCAGTATGGATGAATGCATAATTTTATATAACAAATGGCAACATACTGGGCTGCAGTTAAACACTGAAAGCAAATAATACATCTTGTTGCAGTAGTACTACTTTGTCTGCTGTAATCCATAAGGAAAAACAGAATAGTTTACTTTGGCATTAAATACGTAGATTAACATAATAACTGATGAATTAAAATGACAAAAAACAATAGCTGTTCTATATGCGTTCTGCAGAGAAAAGGGAACAACTGCTGAAAGAAAACAGAAAATTTTCAAAAACAGTATGGTAATGAGAGCTTCTAGTGCTCATTATCATTCTGTGGATAAAGGGTAACTGTACTGAAAGAACTATGTAAGCTGCCATTGCCGATTTCTAGAAAAGCTAGTTGTAAGTAAATCACATTCAAATGGATTTGTTCTGTAATGTTAAAAATGTTTTGTAGCTTATCACAGCCATTTCTTCAGTTGTAATTACGTAGCATCAGGAATATACTGTAGCATTTATAACCACTCAGGTAGTATATAAATCTTAATCCAATAACCATGGAAAGGCAGATATTATTGTCCAAGATCAGGATGGAAGATGTGAAAGTTGTGGAGCCATCCTCTTCCAATTACACAATCCCAGTATTTTTGGCAGGTTTCATAGATTCGATTTCCAGGTGTAAATTGTTGTGAAAACGCTAGATTAGAGGTGTTAAATCAGCATTTTATTTGGAAGACAGATGGTGTTGTAAGGCCCCTACCCCTTTTTAAAGATGGTTGTTTCAGCTGGATGTAGATAACTTCTTTCAAGCCTCGTGAACCAGTTGTACTCTCTGTCCAAAAGGTGCACCTCAATATCCTCAAAAAGATTTTTTCTTTTTTTTTAAGGTGTAGGAAAACTGCTGAGTCCTGACCTGTAAAACTTGCCCTCCTATATTGGGCCATTCATTTTTTTAAAGGTTGTTTCATAGCCACACTGTCTTTGCATATACCAAGTTAATTGTTGTTTAGGTGTTGGATCCCTTGGATGTGGAAGCATTTGGCCTAATGCATTGCTGGGCTTGAGAGACACAGAGATGCAATGTTTATTATCCAGTTCCTGCCGGAGGTACGCATATATGCGCCCAATCAGCGGGTGGGCTTTAATACTGAGAGACCTCATATAGGCGTCCATTAGTAAACATTTTCCTGTTTGTCACAACCATTGTCATAGGGTTCTATGGTTTTGAGTGGTTGGATTTTACATGCTAATGATTTCTTCTGATCTGTAAGGGACTTGATGGTGTGGGTTTTGTTTGTTTGTTTGTGTTGATGTATGTGTTTGGCTGTGTGTTTGTATGTTTCTGACTGCTTAAGCCCCATACACACGATGAGAATATCAGACGAATGATCGCCCGTTTTTTTTGGCCTGTTAGTCTCACATTGAAAGTGAAAAGGTCATTAAAGATATGAAAATTCTCCTATGAAAGAAAGAATTTCGAAAGTGATGTCATGTATTGTATTTTCGGACGACTACTGTACTGATTAAACAAAAATCGTATGATCTGGTATTGTACCAGAAAAATTTTTGCGTTTGTCCCTTTGGATATTGTCACACAAATTGTCGTGATCGGCTCTCGTAAGCTGTATACTAACGATCTGATTATCAGATAAACGATCGGTCCTCGTACAATATTCTTATAGTGTGTACAAGGCATTACCAGTTATGTTATTATTTTTGTTTTGTGATTCTTTCTTGTTATATGTATGGGGTTTCTGGCCTACAATAATTTGTTGTTTGTTTTTTGATCCCCTTTTATGTACCCTTACTTTTTGATTTTAGTTTTGAGTTTCTATTATTATTTGTCTTTTTCTTGTTCTGTTATTATTTGTGTTTTATAAATGCAAAATAAACACCTTTTTAAAAAAAACAAAAACATTTTCCTGTGCTGAGTGCGCTCTCAGCACAACAACCGGCAGATACTGGAAAGCGCCCAGGAATTTTCCGATCATGTGACCACTGTGACTGCCAATCACAGCTGCCACATGATTAGAATCCCAACCTCTGCCTCCTGACATTTAGAACCTCTTAAAAGGGCTGGGAGCTGGTGGGAAGGGGTTACAAACACTGCAGCTACATACAAGAGGACTATATATTACTCTGTGTGTTCTGATGTTTTAGAGAAAGCCCAGTCTGTGTAGCCACAAACTTTCGGAGCACTCCCGAGATGCCGGTGTTCCTTGTTTTTAAGTTCTGTGTTTGTAGGGTATTAGAATTTCTGCAATATCAGGCTGAGATTGTAACAACAGTCTGTGTTCTATTGGGTGGTGGAAATCAAATGGGGATACCGGTCTGTGTGGGTGGGTTTCCTGTAGACTCGTATGTCCAAGTTACCCCTCCTTGACATGCAACACACAGTCCAAAAAGTGTGATTTGTTATGTGGTGTCTCTTCCCATGTAAACTTGATGTCTGTGCCCACAGAGTTTGTGTTCGCTAAACGCCTATAGGTAAAATGAAGATGAATGTTTACGCACTCAGCATCATATATCCTCCCATTCAGGGAAACAACTGTGCACACAAAGGCTCCTGTATGCCTTGTGTCATAGGGGAAGATGAATGTTCCTGCACATGTTCCAAAATTAGACGTTTATTCTTCTACAGACAAACAGTAAACACAAAATAAAGTCTTCTAATGGTACATTCACACGGACAAGTAGTGCCGCTGAGAATGACAGTTGTTCCCAACACCTGTGAGTGGCTAGCTGTGGTCGCTGAGTCCTATATTCAGCTATGATTAAGGCTGTACGTAGCTAAAACGTGCGGCTAGCATGTGCTTGTGTAAGATAAGTTACTACAAGTCAATGTGGGATGAGTTTAGTAGCACTGCTGAAAAAAACTAAACTACATCTCCCATAAACAATCCCTTGTCCTGTCAAACTGTGAACAAGGAGGTTGGGGATGGGATGGCCAAACACTGATTGTCAAACTATAGACTTGGCAAGTAGCAGTGACAATCCTGCTAGCCATGCCAGGCATCAGAACATTCTGCTACTGTAATGGCAAGCACTGTGAATTTGCAAGAACCGGCTGAGCACTGTCACCTGAAAGTAAGAAGTGGAAACCTAGTGGTTCTACTGGCAACAGGGATTTACACAGCATTACAGGCGATGCTTGGAAAAAAAGAGAGGGCATTCTTTCCTATTTAAGGGGAATGCATATCATATGCAATTTTACCGTTTACCCATAGTTCTCTTTTCGCTGATTTTAATGCTTACTGAGCCATTGGCCTGAAAATAGCATGCAGATTAGGAGTTCTGACTTTTCTCCGACTTCGCAGTGACTTAAAGCATTGAATCTGGTGACAGTTAGGTAAGTACAATTCTCAGGAGGAAGTGGCCAATGACAGCCCCCACATTTCTCTCCATCCTGCGATTTTTCATACAGATTTTATAACCAATTTTGCTGTTCAAGGATGCATTTCTGGCTTTGACTGATGCTACAGGATTGTGCTGTTGAATACTACAATACATGAGTAGACCTCCCATTTAGGGCTCATGTACACAGGCGTTTGGAAAACTCTTCTGAACAATGGAAACTGTTGGAAAATGTAGGTTAAAAAAAAACATCAGTTTAGCCGCGTTTGCAAGCGTTTTTAAAAGATAACCTCAGACCTTCCCAAATGCCCAGAATGCACTGAAAAATAGTAAATATTTAACAATTTCAGACATTTTGAGAGAAATAGAGAGAGCAGAAGCAGAGGGATCAGTATGTGTTTAGATTACCTATCTTTTCTGGTTATATTCACTATGGATCCCATCATGAGCATAATGCAGCACGTTCTACTATTTTTTCCTTCACGTGAAACCTGCAACTGACTGCGCTGGTGTACTAGGTCCATCTGAATACATGGAAAACGCTTTGCATGCATTTCTGATGATGAAAACAAGCTCTGGACAGCATCTGGATATGGAACAGTTAAAAAACGCTTATAAACGCAAATGCTTATAAACGCAGTTAACCGTGTTTACAAGCATTTTGAACGCTGGTAAAATTTACTCCTGAACGCAAGTTTAGTGCGTTAAAAAAAAAAAAAAAAAAAACCCTGTAAATGACTAGTGTACATGGACACATAGGAAAACATTAGGGAGAGTTCAGGGGCTGCTGAAAAAAATGCTCAACAGCTCCTGAACGTCAGTTTAGCAGCTGCAATGTACATGAGCCCTAAGAATGATGTGTGGGGTGAAAATCCAGCCAGTATTCCTCAGGGATCTGTCATTGCTTTCATACTCAATTCAAATTACATTCCCAAGATCCCCATCAATGGTGTTAATTCCCTTTTTGTACAGGCTGACAAGCAAAAATGTATTTTATATACCGTAACCAGCACAGCAGATAGTTGCAACAAGTGATTGTTACTGTTAGTGAGTTAACTCATGTAGGTCTCATTTTTGTAAGAGATGCTTGAATATGTTGTCTCATTAAAAGAAAGTTATACTGATAGAGTATAAGGGCTGGCATTACTGACCTCCTAAAAATGGTGGTTGCTATCTATCATGCTGATCGGTAGCTAAATTCACTCTGATTTTTAAACTGCATGCTTGCTCCAAGTCAGTGACTCTAAAATTAAAGAATGCAAATAGAGCCAGACAACCAGTATTTTGAGAAGAAGGTCAGCTATAACAGGCACCATGATACAGGCTTCTGTTAAAAGACAATCCTTTATCCTGTCTACTCAAAGCGTATAAAAAGACAGTTCGCTGTTGTATGCCCTATGCTGCCCATGTATCATATTATCTGTGATTCACCGAACATTTTATATGGTTTAGGTGATAAATCATACTCACCATTGTAGTATAGTCAATCTGTGGTGCCATCTCAGCATTTGTACCACCTTTGAAGATGATGAGTTCAGAGGGGGACTCAGCAAAGAGGACGCAGGGGAGTGAGACTTGAAGCAGTAAGCACACACTCCTATAGGGGACAGAGAAGGAGAGAATATAGCGAACAGGTGATTTCCTTCTGATATGTGAATAGCAAAATAAGTAAAACAGAGGCCATAAAGTCTCCCCATTCTCTTAGTCAGAGATAAGCTCAGGCATGCTCAGATGCAGCAGACTCCCAGACAACCACAAGGCAAACTTCATTAGAGAGGCAGACCCATAAGTTCCAAAAAGGTGACTGTGGCATTTCATTAGGGCAGGAGACCCAGAGTACCTATAAGTAGTGGTATTCCTTCAGTACATCACACCCTACAGATTCGCAAAATGCAAATCTGGTGTTCCACTATGGCAATAGACCCAGCAAGTCCCATAAGGCAAATACTGCATTCCAATAGGGCAGCAGACTGAGTAATCCCCATAAAGTGACTATAGAATGCCATTAGGGTGGCAAATTAATAATCCCCATAAGGCAAATACGGAATTTCATTAAAGCAGCAGACCAATGGAATATGAACTTCTGATCTACAGGCATTTTGTTCAATGCCTATAAGACTATGATATTTGAAACAAGCATGTTGGGCGACAATGCTTCTCCTGCATAGATACACTGCAGTGTTGTAACCCTGGGACAGAAAGTGTGTTACAGCAGGATCCCCAGGTAAAAATAAAGGAAAATGCCTGGAAAAATCTAAATGCAGCCACCATATCAAAAGACAGATAAACTTCAATAAATTTTTGTTCTTGGGTTTACATGCACTAACCACACTTGAAGTACTTTTTATTTAGCATTGATGGAGTGGAGAGGGATTAGGACACCTGTCAGTTTTCATTGCTGTCTGTGCACCCTTTAGTGAGATTTACCCTATTTGTCCTGTTTACCATTATCATTGAAGGTAAAAGAAACCCCAAATATTGGGTAGTCCCCAGAAAAGTAATAGAGGGGAACTTTTCCAATGGGAACACTAGTTCTGGATAGTTCTGGTGACCTGGAGTCACCAAGGAATTCCCTTAATTTGAAGGGATTTCCTCTCACTTCCTATTTTGGCTATGGGACAGGAAGTGAAGGTAAATCTCCCCAATAGGACACAGATGGTAAAAAAAATAAACTGATGGAGTTATAATCCTCCCTTACGCTTTCCAAAATGAAAAAAAAAAAAAGTTTTGCCTATAGTTCTACTTTAATTTGAAGACACGCATTCAATTTAGACAAACATCCCATACTCTATACAAACTAACCCAGCTGTCTTCGTATCAGCAGTCAGTGCTCCTCCTTTTATCCTTCCAGGTGCAAAGTTGATCTCTGTTGATCCAATTTCAGCTTTTTCCAACTGCCCACAACACAAATCCCGAACAGTCTCCAGTCCAGATAAGTGCTGTGGCCTAGGGAGAAAACAGGACATTTTAGGCATAGTAATAACAATATTAGTAATAATAACAAATAGTAGTAATTTTTGTTCTGCATTGAAAATCAGGAAATATTATGCCCAATTGGAAATAGTTTGTCAAAATAAAAAACTTTTAGTTAATACTATTAAGTTTACTTTACAAAATATATATTTTGATGTGAATTCAACATTTTTACAGCCATCTGTATTAATCTATTGTTAAATTCTACTGGCCAAATCAGAACTTTGATTATAGATCTGGGACTGAGATAAAATGATTAAAGTCTAATCACTGCACTGCACCACAAAACAGGGGTCACAGCATGTACATTTAGGGCCGGTCATAGACAGTGAGAATTTATTTCCTGTAACCACTGGCTGCAGGAAATAAATTCACTCGACTCCCCTGTTGACGGGGGAATTCCTCCGGCCGAGTTATTGTGTTCTCCTAGTGGGGAAGCCCTCCCTACCAGAAGAAGACAATGACTACTGCTAGTGGCTAGAACAGCTGCTACCAATAAATTGCTTGTAAAATCCGGCAGGCTGGTTGTATCCAAGTTGATCAATCAATCACTTGTGTATATTCAGCCTGCCCATAGATGGTTTGAATCTCATCCAATTCCTGCTGGACCGGCTGAGATTCGAACAATCTATGAACGGCTTAAAGGTGACACTAATTTACATCCAATTAAAAGATATAAAGGTTTTTAAAAACATTGGCACGTGTTGATATGACTTTTAACATTAGGCTGTTACATAGACATGTCAAACATTTTAACAGAAAATTGCTCCCAGTTTCTAAATTTAGGAAAATAGTGCCAGCTATCACCTTAGGACCAGGGACGGACTGACCATTTGGAAACTCGGGCACTGCCCGAGGGCCCGGGGTCAGTAGGGGGCCCCATGAGATGCTCCTTGTACCTTTTTCATAGGCTTTTTTGAGTTTGGGCAAAGACACAGGGGCCCCATGAACCCCTATTGCCCGGGGACCCCATGAGTTGTCAGTCCGCCCCTGCTTAGGACTGAGATGGGGGGGGGGGGGGCTGTGGGGAGATGAGCAGTGTGCTGCAGTAGAGACGAAAGCCTCTCCTGCCTCCACAACACTAGAACCCCCCCCCCAATCTCCTGAACTGTGCAGTTATCAGTGTGACAGCTGTGTCAAGTATGCTGGCAGTATTTTTACAAAATAGAGCACAGCTGACTTTTTTTTTCTAAAACTTTAGGGCAGGGGTCTCCAAACTTTCTAAACAAAGGGCCAGTTTACTCTTCTTTAAAATCTAGGGTGGCCAGACTGTGGTCAATGGAAGTAGAAAAGGTCCAGATGTCAGAGGGAAAAAACATTGACACTGTCCTTGGTGTCAGCAGGAGGAAACGTGCCGTGTTGTTGGTGTCATTGGGAGAAATTGTGTCCCCGCATTGTTGTCACTGAGAAGAATTTGGTATCAGTGTGGGGGAAATATGACCCATTGTTGGTATAAGTGGATGAAATAGTGCCCCAAGGGCCAGATAGAGGCAAGCAAAAGGCTTCAACTGGCCCTCGGACCACAGTTTGGAGGCCACTGGTTTAGCATATTATTAACCCAAGCCCAATTGTATTTTATTTTAATTATCTTATTTTCCCCTTTTTCCTCAGCATTTTTCAGCTGATTTATTTTTACAATTTTATTTATTCTAGTACCCCCATAAAATTAATTCTTTGTGTAAGAAACATAATTTGCACTTTTGATAAAACTATTTTAGTTCCTAAACAGCAAAACAAATTGTGGTTACAATCATGTTAAAGAAACCTGGCACTGTTTTAACATGCCACTTATAACTGAATCACACTGGTATAACCACATCACGTATGAATACACGTATTCATCCCATTTTGGCCTTAGGTGCTAAAAAAGACTTTATCCTGGCACTGCCTGAAGGTGCCTACTATAAGGACCTGTGGACACATTGCCAGGTAAGGTGAGGTTTATTTTAGCTTTCATGTTTTCCAAGGTGTATGATGACAGCAGACCACAGTGAGCCTGCCTCGAGAGAGGAAACGAGAGAAAAACTCCCATCCCACCAACGAACTAACCTCCCATGTATTTCAAATAAAGGAAGAAAAAAAATCAACTCTAAGCTTGAGATGGGAGTGCGCCTCTGCTGTCTAGTGGTTTAGCACATGCTCCGAAACGTGTCACTTTGCATGATGGTCTCTCCCACGTCATCACGCGGACTTTGCACTCCAAGGTGCACTCTAGACGCCATCTTCAGAGACTTCACATGCCGGGCGGCTTCTTGTGACATCCAGTCTCCCTTAGCGTGGAGGCGGCTATACCTTACTTACCTTTTTCACCATGCGAGTGCTTTTACATTACTCCCTAATAAATGTTTTGACATACTGCACTTAGAGATGCTTTTTTCTTCCGTTATCTTCACACAGAGCCTGCTACAGCTATAAGAGCTTGCCCTAGTGCTACATGGACTTATTTTGCATTATATGACTTTGGACTTTATGAATGTTTATTTTGTGTCCCTTGACATTAGGATCTGGGAATTCTGTATACGCAAATTTTTTGTTTTTTTGTTTCTTTAGCTTCATGTATTTCAAATACCCAAACAGAACTACTATAATAAATAACATAAAATGAAAATAATTGAGGTGCTGTTAACTCAGGGAAGCTGCAATAATGGGAAATCTGAACCTGAAAAATATGGAAACTATCTTTGCCATAGTCATCTGAAAAGAATTATTGGCCAGTGGCCATTGTTTTGAATTAACGGTTTCATTGCTTTGTGAATAATGGACCTAAAACAAGTATGTATCAGAACTTCAACACAGGTGCACTAACATGTTTCAAGGCTTCCTCTGAGTCTTTTAGTAAGAGTCGGAGTCTCTAACATGATGACAGAGTCTTCCTCAACATCTGTCCCTTACTTCCATCACAGGAGGCTGTTCATTTTGTGCAGCAAGGCCTATTTGTTTTGCTTAGCTGGCGGCTAACCTGATATTTATTCCCTTAGGTCTTTTATAGCCTTCACATACAGGCTCTCTGTGTTTTTTTCTTTTTTTACATCTACTCCTGGAAATTGCTGATGTTTGTTATGTGCCTGACATTTAACTGCAGAATGTAAGTGCAGTTATTTTCTTTATAATTTTATTAACTCCTTGCTGACACCTTCCAGCAGCCCTATAAATGGGTCTTAATGCTGGGTGGCAGAGGTGAAGTTACTGATCATGTGAGCACCGTGAGATTAGCTGTCAAAGCAGTCACATGTTTAGGAACCTGTCCCACTGGCTACTGATCATAGACAATGACAGGAGATTATTGATGACAGCTTGATCAGAGTGCTGGAAGAGAATTCTCAGTACATAACAGCAGAGTCAGTGCCCCATGTTTGAACGATCCAAAAAAGGCACTGCCCTGAAATTTTTTGCTTGCCCTTCTCAGTTACAGGTTTGCCAGGCACTGGCCAAAAGGAGCCCTTTTCGGCTCTGAGCACCATTGCTACATCATATACAATGCCGCACTCTGATGATGTCATTCTTCAACAAAACAAGTTATATTCGGCCAGAACAGACATTTTGAAAATATCCACCTACTGATCCAACCTTCTGACGCATTTCACCCTTATACATTTAATCTCTACGATTAAGCCCATAAGACTGAAACATGTCAAAGGGGTGGTCCCTCAGCAGGGACTCTCAAAGTTTCTGTTCTTGCTAAAGAAGATTTTTTTTTTTTTTTTTTTTACGAGTGACATCATCAGTGTGTGGCCTTGTGTTTGATGTAGCAGAGCCCCGTGGATGCATATATATGACAGCCGTGCACTAACGTGAACCAACCTTGCTGCTGGATGTGTGGTACGCCAGCGGGTACAAGTTAAGGAATGTTTGGTGTGTGCGGTTTTCCTTTTTTTTTGGTTAGATCAGGAATTCTGACTTCCTTCTAAACGTACCCGATGCACATGTTTTTTTTTTCTGGCTCAGTGACTCAGAACATTGAATTAACCTAACAACCAGGCAACTGACATTTTCAGAAATTCAGCAATGAAAGCCTTCTAAATCTTCTAGTACAGATTTCCTTTACAGCTAAAGACTGTGAAAGGTGAGGTGGCCAAAGCTAATGGTGGTTCTGCAAAACTAGTCAATGAAAACGGTAGCCTTTTTAGCCCAGTAGCCAACTATAGATGGCCTTGTCCTCTTATATAAAACTGCATGGGAAAGAAATGAGTTCTCACCTCAGTCCTGGAGTGCTTCTTCCTGCTCGGATCTTCATTACACGCACACGTAATCCAAGAAGGCAGCTTAGAGCAGTGCAGATACGCAAGATCTGTCCTCCCTATGTTTCCAGAAAAACATAATGACTATAAATTTCACAGATACAAAACAATCTGGGCATGTACTTCATAAAGTGGTTGTAAACCTCTGACTTGACTATATGAGCAAAGCATATCCCTCTATATTGTGTACTTCTGTCAATCCAGAGCACTAAGTGTCATTTCTGTCTGCTGCCTTGTTCCTTTGCTGTCTGCATGAGTTACTTCTGACAAATTTTCCTGACACCAAGAGATAAAAAGGTGACATGGGTGCTCTAGCACACGGTCTGTGATTGACACCCTCAGCTCTGTTCCTGTATGCTGTGTAAAGGGAATTGATGTAATCCTTCACTCCAATCAGCTCTCCTCACTGAGTGTTACTTCAGCTCCTCTTGTTGGTGATGTGATCTTGAAAGAGTGAGTATTCTGAATGCAAAGCTCATAGTATGTGTTTATACTGTCAATCAAACAGGCCCCACTACATAGAAGTGTGGCTTATGCATGAAACAATTGATAAGAAGAAAATGTGCTGTTGCCCATAACAAGCAGTCAATTTCCAACTGTCATTTCCACCGTGCAGAACTTAAAGTGGAACTAAACCCTCCTATCATTATCAGCCAAGGAAGCTACCATCTTAGCCTCGGTTTGAACTTCAACTGCCACAATGCTGCAAGTGATCAGTTATGACACCAGGCATTTGATGGCATGACAGTTTGGTTGGGAGCACAAGAAAATGTGACAGTTAGATTCCTCTCACATTCCGGGAATGTAACTGTTTTCTGAAACTGTTAAATAGAGTTTAGTTTCTTTAAAACAATCAACCATAGTAATGAATGGCTGTATGTGTTTGTATGCGGGTTTACACTGCTACTTGGTAAACCCATACATGGGTACGGGCATACTACCCAGGGTGATGACAGTCTGTGTCCAAAGGCGGACGGCTTTATGCATATGTGAGTTTACGCACGTTGGGACATAAACAGGCATACAGCCACACACAGCCAACAATTACTATGGTCAGTTGTACATAGCAACAGTGTTTCCCGTGCTCAAATCAGTTCCAGGCCCAAATAATTGATTGTAATTTTAGAAACTGTCTGCTGGGATTTAGACTCTAGATATAACAAAAAAAAAAAAAAAAAAAAATGAATTGAGGTTCACCCTAACCACATTCTTAGCAACTTCCATTAAAGACCAACTCTGGGCATAATACGCTTACCAGGATTAATTCAGCTACACATTCTGTAGCCTCAAACCACAATGCCGTCGTCATGCAGGATTCTTTTACATTACACAGATCTGCTGGAGGAAATACAGCTTCAGCTCTACTTCAGACCTGCTCAGGTGAAAGTGCTGCAGGTCACATAGACCCCAACGCTATGGTCGTCTCCCCATCTCCTGCTCATTCAGGCCATTCACAACATATGTACAGCCCCAGGTTTAAATTAGATTGGTCTTATGTAGAAGAAAGCCTGTATGGCAGCGAATGAGGTTTAAAGTACTGGAACGTATAACTGAATGAACCCTGGTGAGTTTATTGTGCCCCAAGTTGGGCTTTAAAAAATACTACTTATTTAGGCTCTAAACATAAAGGCGCTGTTTAATCATGTTATAAATGCAGCCTAAATGCATCGGCTGTAGATTTAAACAAGCTTTAAGAAGGTGTCAGCAAGCTAAATGCCTGCTGAAGTGTGTTTAAAGTTACAGCCAGTACTACTACTACGATTTGTATTCAATAGGGCAAATTTACCTGGGGCTTTAACTGTTGGTTGTGTGCAAACACAAAGCAACTGTGTTGGTGCATGCATACTCACAGCAACTGTGGTGGAGCGCGCAGAAACAAACCAACTGTGTCAGTGCGGTCAGATGGGAAGCAACTGTGTTGGTAGGCCCAGAAACCAAGCAACTGTGATGGTAGGCCCAGAAACCAAGCAACTGTGATGGTAGGCCCAGAACCAAGCAACTGTGATGGTAGGCCCAGAAAACCAAGCAACTGTGTCGGTGTGTGCACAGCAAACCAAGCAACTGCGTCGGTGCGGTCAGATGGGCCCAAGCCAAGCAACTGCGTCGGTGGGCCCAGCAGCCAAGCAACTGCGTCGGTGGGCCCAGCAGCCAAGCAACTGCGTCGGTGGGCCCAGCAGCCAAGCAACTGCGTCGGTGGGCCCAGAAGCCAAGCAACTGCGTCGGTGGGCCCAGCAGCCAAGCAACTGCGTCGGTGGGCCCAGAAGCCAAGCAGCAGAAGCCAAGCAACTGCGTCGGTGGGCCCAGCAGCCAAGCAACTGCGTTGGTGGGCCCAGAAACCAAGCAGGACAGGATGCATTTTAAAGCAGCATAGAGTGTTGTGATGCACTACACTGTTTTACAACATCCTGCAATAAAGTATCATTTTGTGACATCTCAATATAGATCAAAAATGAAAGAAAAAAGGTAAACAGTGCAATGCATTATAGGAAAGCATCAAGCCACCTCTACACAGTGCACACAAGCGGATGTGCATAATACAGAGCATAACAATTGCCCACTGTGTGTGTGATTGGGCCCTAAGCAAGTATGCCCTCCACCACACAATGCATGTATAACCCATTGCCTTCCCAAAGCCTATACAGATACTGACCTTCACTTTCTGGGAAGCAGAAGCAGTGACATCAAGATCATTATAGCAACACTGCAGGTATGCTTGTGCACTTTATACAGTCAGGTCCATAAATATTGGGACATCGACACAATTCTAACATTTTTGGCTCTATACACCACCACAATGGATTTGAAATGAAACTAACAAGATATGCTTTAACTGCAGACTGTCAGCTTTAATTTGAGGGTATTTACATTCAAATCATGTGAACGGTGTAGGAATTACAACAGTGTGCATATGTGCCTCCCACTTGTTAGGGGACCAAAAGTAATGGGACAATTGGCTTCTCAGCTGTTCCATGGCCAGGTGTGTGTTATTCCCTCATTATCCCAATTACAATGAGCAGATAAAAGGTTCAGAGTTCATTTCAAGTGTGCGATTTGCATTTGGAATCTGTTGCTGTCAACTTTCAAGATGAGATCCAAAGAGCTGTCACTATCAGTGAAGCAAGCCATCATTAGGCTGAAAAAAAACAAAACAAACCCATCAGAGAGATAGCAAAAACATTAGTCGTGGCCAAAACAACTGTTTGGAACATTCTTAAAAAGAAGGAACACACCGGTGAGCTCAGAAACACCAAAAGAATCGGAAGACCACGGAAAACAACTGTGGTGGATGACTGAAGAATTCTTTCCCTGGTGAAGAAAACACCCTTCACAACAGTTGGTCAGATCAAGAACACTCTCCAGGAGGTAGGTGTATGTGTGTCAAAGTCAACAATCAAGAGAAGACTTCACCAGAGTGAATACAGAGGGTTCACCACAAGATGTAAACCATTGGTGAGCCTCAAAAACAGGAAGGCCAGATTAGAGTTTGCCAAACGACATCTAAAAAAGCCTTCACAGTTCTGGAACAACATCCTATGGACAGATGAGACCAAGATCAACTTGTACCAGAGTGATGGGAAGAGAAGAGTATGGAGAAGGAAAGGAACTGCTCATGATCCTAAGCATACCACCTCATCAGTAAAGCATGGTGGTGGTAGTGTCATGGCATGGGCATGTATGGCTGCCAATGGAACTGGTTCTCTTGTATTTATTGATGATGTGACTGCTGACAAAAGCAGCAGGATGAATTCTGAAGTGTTTAGGGCAATATTATCTGCTCATATTCAGCCAAATGCTTCAGAACTCATTGGACGCCGCTTCACAGTGCAGATGGTCAATGACCCAAAGCATACTGCAAAAGCAGCCAAAGAGTTTTTTTAAGGGAAAGAAGTGGAATGTTATGCAATGGCCAAGTCAATCACCTGACCTGAATCCGATTGAGCATGCATTTCACTTACTGAAGAGAAAATGCCCCAAGAACAAGCAGGAACTGAAGACAGTTGCAGTAGAGACCTGGCAGAGCATCACCAGGGATGAAATCCACCGTCTGGTGATGTCTATGCGTTCCAGACTTCAGGCTGTAATTGACTGCAATGGATTTGCAACCAAGTATTAAAAAGTGAAAGTTTGATTTATGATTATTATTCTGTCCCATTACTTTTGGTTCCTTAACAAGTGGGAAGCACATATGCAAACTGTTGTAATTCCTACACCGTTCACCTGATTTGGAGGTAAATACCCTCAAATTAAAGCTGACAGTCTGCAGTTAAAGCACATCTTGTTCGTTTCATTTCAAATTCATTGTGGCGGTGTATAGAGCCAAAAATGTTAGAATTGTGTCGATGTCCCAATATTTATGAACCTTACTGTAGTTCATAATATTGATATTAGCTGACTACTTCTCTATTAAATATCAGAAAGCTGATCACACACAGAGCATTCTCATGATTCGATCACATTGATCAACAAAATGTAATAACTTTTTAATGTGAGCAATAATGTGAGCTCATACTACACAGATTAAATCTGAACACTGGTGTGTACCCAGCATCACTGTCCTGGCTACACAGAGGACAGCCAGTAACAATATAGATTACTTACACCCTCCATGATGCTGCCGTCAATGTCTATAGTTGACCCTTCTTCTGCCATGTTGCCAGCCTCTTGTGCTTCACTAGTAACTCCTAAAACATAATAGGAAAAAAAGATAAAAACTACATAATTCTGTCTTGCAGCACTGGGGTCCTCGGTTCCAGTCTCAGCCAGGACATTATCTGCACAGAGGGTTAGAAAACGGGTCCAAACCTACTTTAGCTCTTAATCCAGCAATATGTCAAAGCCAACAACCAATTAGAGGTGGCAGAGGCATGCTCTGCTCCACAGCTGCACATATACAAGGGGCATGTAAAAGTGTGACTACGGGGCAGGGAAAACCTCCGCGGGCTATGATTGGCTGTTGGTTTTGATAGCTTCCTGGCACGATAGCTCAGGCGGGTTTTCACTTTTGTATTCATATGAGGTAGAGACTTTAGCCCCTGGTCACATCAAAGCCGATTTTGAAATTGTGCGACTTACAGTAAAGTCACACGATTTCAAAATAGGGTGACCTGATGATTTCATTGTGATTTGCAAGATATCTGACACAGATGTCTACGCAAATCGCAACAAAAGTAGAGCATGTACTACTTTAGAAATCATTGCGGCTCCGACCAAGTCAGAACCGCACCGATATGACCGCTCTAATAGCGGACAATAAAGTGCGACTTGGCATACGATTTGCAAGTCGCGTGCCTAATCACACCCGATGTGACCGGGGTGTTAAAGTATAACTAAAAGCAACGCTTCTTTTTTCTTTAGTTTTGGATAGAGTGGAGAGGGATTAGAACCAATGTCAGGTTTTTACTGTTGTCTGTGTCCCTGTTAGGTAAATTCACCCTCTATATTTGCCCTGTTCACTATTATCGCCAAAAGTGAAAGTTAAAGAAAATCCAAAATTTTAGGTTGTCATCAGAACAGTAAAGAAGGAAATCTTTGAATGGGGACCCTAGTTCTGGTGTCAGTCAGGGATTTACTCTCGCTTCTTGTTTTGGCTTTGGAAAAGGTGAAGGGAAATCTCCTCAATGGGACACAGATGGCAAAAAAACTGACAGGGGATATATCCCTTCCTCACCGATCAACCATAAAATTATGACCACCTGCCATAATGTGACCACCCACCTAATATTGAATTTTGCCAGCAAACAGCCCTGACCCTTCGAGGCATGGACTCCACTAGACCTCTGAAGGTATGCTGTGGTATCTGGCACCAAGCCATCAGTAGCAGATCCTGTAAGTTGTGAAGTGGGGCCTCCATGGATCAGACTTGTTTTTCCAGCACATCCCATGGATGCTTGATGGATTGAGATCTGAAGAATTTGAAGGCCAAGTCAAAATCTCGAAGACGCCTTCTTCCATTGCTTTGTGGTCCAGTTCTGATGCTCCCGTGCCCATTGTAGCCACTTTTATCTGTGGACCCGGGTCAGCATGGGCACCCTGACTGATCTGTGGCTACGCAGCCCCAATACACAACAAACTGCGATGCCCTGTGTAGTCTGACATCTCTCTATCAAAAGCAGCAACTTTTTCATCAATTTGAACTACAGTAGTTCTTCTACTGGATCAGACGACACAGGCCAGCCTTTGTTCTCCCACATTCATCAATAGATCTTGGCCTCCCAGGACTCAGATTTTTCCTTCCTTGGACCACTTTTGGTCGGTCCTGACCACTGCAGACCGGGAACATCCCACAACAGCTGCAGTCTTGGATATGATCTGACCCTGTGATCGAACCCTAGCATTCCGACCCTTGTCAAAGCCGCTAGATCCTTACGTTTGCCCGATCTGCTTTCAACCCATCAGCTTCAGGGACAACATGTTCACCTGGTGCTTTATATATCCCACCCACTTTCAGATGTCAGTGTAACAATATGATCAATGTGATTCACTTTACCTGTCAGTGGTCATAAAGGTACGGCTGATCGGTGAATATACTCACATATGAATGGAAAGCTGCGATTCTGGCTGCACAACCCATATCCTGAGCTTGACAGCTCTGCATACATTCCTACTCTAGCAGCCACCCTGTACATGATCTACAGTATAGATGGTGTGTATGATGAAAGCCCCAGCACCCACCAGTCCCCGATCAGTCGGCCCCGTCCAATGTATAGCAGATCTGTGTGTGTGCCGGCTACACCGGCTCCTGCCACCCTGTGCCCGCCCCTTCCTGTCACTCATTTAACCCTGCCACTGCCAGGGGAAATCGTACTCTGCACTCTTCTTCTGAACTAAAACAAAATCTGTCCATATGGTGACAGACAAATAAAGTTAGTTAACTAATAAACACGGACACCACACAATAAAATGTTTACTATAAATACTTACACTTATTATTACCCAGTTTTATGTTTTACCCCGATCCAGATTATTCCTACAAGCCATGATTCCGGCATAGTCGCTGTAAAAGCCTCATTAAATGCAATTTGTAATATTGATCCCGGTCTTCTGATCTATTTCTAACCAGGAAAATGGCAGCTCACATTGACAGCGACACATTCACAAAAGGGTCGCTTACAGGTTTGTCCAAGCGGCCTGGCGCCCCGCCCCCTTCTCTGACAGCAGAGCAGGGGCTTATTCGTGCTCTGATTGGCTGTCGGCCCCTCACACCCCCCTCCCTCCCCCATCTCCTTGGCATTGACACAATTGTTCCTGCTCTTGTCTTCTGGTTGGACGGGAGAAGCAGCTCTGTGATGTGATTGGTTCTCAGGGCTTTTCCGGGTAACATGGCGGCTGTGAGAGCATTGAGGAGCTGTAACCGGTCATTGGTCCGTCTGGTGAGAGAAGCTGTAGTGTGTTTCTCTGGGTGCGGGGTAAAGTCTGGGGGACCCTCCCGGGTCTAGTCTGGGGAAGGTGACGGTCACACTGCCCTGCCTTTTCTTATCAGGAGAATGGTGTCACTGAGCTGTACACTGCAAGGACTGAGAGATGGAGTCCTCCAGAACATTGGCAGGATAGACCAGGGCTGTGGATAAGGGGGACCACCAGTCCTCCTGTATGGGGCCCAGGCAGTTGAGTTAATCGGATGTGGACAGGGAGGGTGATTTGCGTAGTGGTGGGGGGTGAGATGTTAATTATTGGAACCGATCCCCTGTATGGTTCTCTCTGCAGCTGCTGAAAGTTGGCTACTTCTCCTCTCCCTCCCGCTCTGCCTTTTAGCTGCTGCAGAGAGAGCCATACCGGGGATCGGTTCCAGTAATTGCCCCCTCCCAATGAACGAACCCAATCACTCATTGGGTTCATTCATAAATGAAGCATAGTAAACTGTGCTTTTGTTTGGGGAGGAGGGCCCCGTTATGTTGGCTGTATGGGACCCTGTAGTTTCTAACAGCAGCCCTGGGCTAGAGACCGCTAGAGCTAAATGTCTGTTCCTTCAGAGATCACCGCCTTTCTTCCCTGCAGATCTGCGTTCACTCTCTACTAGGCATGATCCACATGGAGTTTGTTGCCTTTTGTTAGCATTAGTGTTCCCCAAGTGCCCTGCTTTTTACCAGAAGCATACTGCTGGCTTTGGCTAAATGTACTGTGTGTGTAGCAATACCATTAGAGTGCAAGCTCCTCTGCAGCATTTAGATTTTATATATTACAGCATTGATCTAGTGCTGAGGATGTACACAGTGCTTTACATCCACAGCAGTCCCTGCTTCCAAGGAGCTTACTATCTAATGCCCCTACTTCCCATACATACCTACACATAGTAGGGTCAATTCAGCTGTAATTAGCAATAAAGATCCGCACACTGCTAATAACGACACCATTCAGCAACCAGCAATAGATTAACACCCTGGTCACCTTGGGTGTGACTTGGTATGTGAATTGCAAATCGTATGCCAAGTCCCACCCTATTGTCCGCTATTAGAGCGGTTATATCGGTGCAGTTCTGACTTGGTCGGAGCCGCACTGATTTCTAAAGTAGTGCATGCACTACTTTTGTTGCAATTTGCATAGACATCTGTGTCAGATGTCATGCAAATCGCACCTCAAATTGGCATGTCACCCGACTGTGAAACCGCGCGACTTCACGTTAAGTCGCACAATTTCAAAATCGGCTTTGATGTGACCAGGGTGTAAAGTGGAACTGCACTGCATCTGAGCACCACAAACCAAAAATACCATGGAATTCATTTTTAGGTTTCAATGTTTTTAACCACTTGCCCTCCAGAGGACCCCTTTCCTGACCAGGCCTTTTTTTTTTTTTTTTTGCGATACAGCACTGCGTTACATTGACAATTGCGCGGTCATACAACGCTGTACATAAATCAAATTTATGTCCCTTGCTATAAAACATGTCCAATAAAAAAACTAAAAAAATCAAATTTATTCATAAATTCAGAACAAAATGTAATTTGCTACATGACTGCTTAAAAAAAAAAAAAAATCCCAATACGTGTAAATTTAGTGGTTTACGTGAAAGTTATAAGTTATACGCGTCTACAAATAGTGGTGTGGTGTGTGTGTATATATATATATATATTATATATAGTAATATATATTTTTTTTATATATACTAGTAATGGTGGTGATCATTTTTTTTTAATACTAGTAAGGTGGCGCGCGACTTATAGCGCGGCGACTGCGGCGGGCATTCTGACACTGGGTGGAAATTAACTGCCACTGACATCCCCAGTGACACTAATACAGTGATCGGTGCTAATGAAAAGCACTGACACTGTTCTACTGACAGTGGGCAGGAAGGGGTTAACATCTGGGGCGATCAAAGGGTTAACCGTGTGCTGTGTTTTACTAGGGAGACATGTTGTGCAGAGAGATACAGAATGTCCATGCTAACAGGAGAGAGACCTGTGTTGTTTACACACAATTCTCTCCCCTGTCAGCTTTCCTCTATGATCGTCAAGTGCCAGCTGGGACCTGGTGATTGACATCCCTAGCCAGCAATAGCAGCGCGGGTAGGGCAGTGAGCACACCCCCTACCCAGAAATGCAAATCACGTCTATATATACACGTGATTTTGCGCAGTACTTCTGCTATAGGGCGGCAGGCAAGTGATTTCAACAGTACAGATCATTCGTTCTACATATGTTTCAGGATACACATTG